TTCGAAAAAATGTCATATAAACAACTGGGTAGACTGGATCTATATGAAGCAAATACTTTTACAATTTTAAAGGGCTCCTGAAAGAGGTCATATGGTGGAGAGATGCAAAGTTTTCAGTTATTGTGGATAAATACAGAACAGTGCTTCTTATTTCTTTTTGTATTCTTTTTAGCTATTGCTTTTTTTTATCTGTTAACCAATTATCTCTTTAATGTAGTGTTTACTTTATTTGTTGTAATGACCTCGTTTGGAGTCATTTTATGTGTTTATTTTGTTATGGTTATTTTATGTTTTGTCTACATTGATAGAGTAATAGCTATATAAGACGGTGCACAATGTTTGATGTTGGTAACCAGAAAAGGATCAGCATGGATGGTGGTGGCCTGGGAGGGGTTCGTTTGTGGGGGGGTTACTGTTATTATTGTCTTGTTAAAATAATAATAACAAAAAAATGTTAATCATAAAAAAACAAAAAAAACAAAGACCACGGCTGTACAGTTTTCTTTGACTTGTGTACTCACTAATGCTAAACTAAGACACTAATGATTTCAAACAAAGCAGAAATACAAGCCAACCTTAGCTTTGAGGAAAGACGGGTATCTGCTGAAGGCTCTGGCCAGGATGTCATCATTGACCTCATTACCAAGATCACCACAGAATATACGGAAATCATCTGCAACAAAGAGAGAAAACAGGATTCGCGTAAACATGAAAAGAACATTATCAAAGATTCAGACAATGTTACCTTTATCCTGCAGCAGGTAATCCATAAAGAAAAGCTTTATCATCAAATCACCAAGCAACTTTTAAACAATGGTATGTGTGGTGAAAGAATTGCGATCAATCATAAATCAGACCAAACAAGGTACAGGAGAGGATGGTAAAAACAGAGGACAATGTTAGTGTTAGAGACAATTGACAAAATGCTGATATTTTATGTAAAATAATATTTAGAAGGGGTGTAAGGCTGTTTTAACTGAAGATTTTATCACAGTCCTTCAGTCCCTCCAACAGTTTGTACCTGGGTCCCACTCCAACAGACTGGCGTCCTCCCAGCTGGTCCCTGCTGCAGTACGGATACACTTCTTCACTTTCTCCACCTTTGCTTTCTTTTTGTCTTCTGTAGCACTTTCCACAGGCTACAAGACACAAACGCACACACACACTTTATTACCAAAAAGTGACAAATAGATTAGTATATTTTTCAAAGCAAAAAGTATATTTTTACACGTGTTATTGTTTTAAAACAAACTTTAGCCATCTTAATCCTCCTGTTTGGAGGTAAATCCCAATATTTTATACACTCTGCATGCCTGCTAACCAACTACAAATAAACAGTGGTTACATATGCACAATTTCATGGCACTAGTCCATGGTTATTTAATACATTTGGCCAAAGCATTAGTAAATTATTAGATGTATATTATAATCCCTGCAGGCAGGTTTTAAAATCTGGTGGAAAGCCTGTACAGAAGAGTGGAGGCTGTTACAGAAGCACACTGTCACATATATAACACCCATAGTTTTTAGATGACATGTTCAACTATCACATGTGGTAGTAATGTTTGTGTCTAATTACTTTTGGCCATATAGTGCACTTTGCATCTTTACTAAATCCTTTCCAAAGCTTAAAGGCTAAAACACCGGCACTGCAGTGTCACAGTGTGTCATAATACGTGGCTCAATCGCCCACAGCTGGTTCAGGCTTGTGCTATAACAGCAAATCTGTACTATTACTACCCAATGCTGGAACACATTCATAACAGCAGATGGCATTGTCATCTCATTTAGCAGGATGTAACCTGAACCCTAACTGTATTATATAAACTGTCAACCAAGACATTAGTTTAAAATCATGTGTGGACACCACAATTTAAGTTCACTTAAAATTGGAATCTCCAGAGCTATAACTCATCTAGTAATGTCTTTTTACCATTATAATGTATTTATAATTTTAGGCTGGAAATAGAACAATGAGGTGAAACCACTCACTGGGAAGAACGTGCAGCATGTGTCAAAGTTGAGTCCTTACTGTGGCATTAACTGCATATCATCCCCTCTCTCCCCTGCCTTTCCTGACTCCAAAAAAGCAGACTATTGATTTTTAAATGTACCTCAGTGGGGGGAGGCTCAAGCTCAGGCATGCTAGGTCCAATTACGGTGCTGCTGTCTTCACTCTCCTTCTTGTCCAGTAGACCTGCTGCCATCACTGCTGCCTGCTGCTCTGCAACGCGGGCCGCCAGTTCCTCCTGAAAGATCCACATTAGACACAGTAAGACTGGCTCAGACCACCTAATAGTACAATAACAGTATTCTGCCTGTTCATGTAGTGACACTGTCACTAGTGTTCTAACACACGTCCAGGCAATAAAAGCAGAATATAAAATCACAAGAAGAAACAGACAAGTGCACAAAAAGCTCTCAGAACATAATACTTCAACAGAGCACATAGACATTGTTTTGTTAGATATAAATCAAAATGAAAATACCATTCTGGCTTGTCTCTGAGCTCTAACATCATTTCTTTTATGTCCAGGGGGGGCAGGAGGAGCAGAGTACACGGTCGGTGCAGCCTGGATGATTGATGGTGTTGGTTTAATGGGAGGCGGGGGTCCTTGTCTCGAGTTCGGGGCAGACACCATCGAGACCATCTCACCGACCTGAGTGAGACACGCCAACACAAGAATTTAAAAGACACAAGGTAGGTCTCAAGTTAACCAATGTGGAAACAAGACTAGTATATAGCTGGATGTGTTTTGTCATTAGTAGTGTCTAGAATGTGAATTCACGGACATTAAATGTTCATCTGCAATTTTCTGTAGTGGTCCCAGTAATATTTGTTCTTAAGGTGTACTAAAGCAGAATATGAGATGGTTAAGCTACGTTAGGGTAAAAAAAAAATTAAATGCAACAGTACTTTCCAGTCATATCTTAAAGGTTCAGTGTGTAACATTTAGGAGGATATAATGGCATTAGTGTATAATCATTTGAAAATAAGAATTGTGGAATGAGCCGTTTTTATCTACAGAAGCAGCAGATTGGCAGGTTGAACTGGCTGTAGATAGGGGCATTCACATTTTTCGTTTCAAGTTTCTCATTCGCACTTGGAAAGGAGGGTTGAGGTGAGGGTGTTGCAATATTCAACTACACTGCACGATGCAAGTCCTACACACTGGACCTTTTAAGATGTTTTGATTTGAGAACTTATTTTAATTGTAACTAATTATAACTTACCCCCTGCTCTTTCATTTGTTTGTATGACTCACTGTATTGAGTGTTTTGTCAGAGTTGTCAGTTGTTTATTTGGGGTGCTCTAACTGTGCGCTCTCCCTCACACCATAGGTACTGTACTATTTCTGTGCCATCTGTGCGAGAATGATGTACTGTGACAGGACAGGAAACTGATTTGTCAAGTGTGTTCGTGTGCGTGTGTGTTTTTGCTTATGGCTACCGGATGGACCCAGTGCAGACGGACCACCTGCTTTGCCCACATCCCACTAACATTAACCTTTGAGAACAAAACCTAAATGAACTAGAATGTTACTTACATAATATAAATGCAGATTGTATGGGGCTATGGGCCCTATAGCTCTGAGGTGGGGTCTACGTTGTAAGTGGGTGTGGACTAAAAGTCACTAGATGAAGCCACTAGTGACAACCTTTGAGGGCTGTGCCTATACTTTATATATAGAGTATGGAGTTATAATACGTAACTAGTGTGTGTGAGCCTATTATAAATGTTAACACAAGAGGGAAAGTAGATTTATTTCTGTTAATAGGGACAGTAATTGCTGACAATATCACACTTAAGACATAAAGCAATACTGTGCCAACCCCGTTTGTGTCTTTGAGCTCTGACCTGAGGTGCCGCAGCCATGTGCTGTATGGGCTGGGAAGGACCCTGAGTTGTCTGGCCCTGCAGGGTGGGAGGGAGCATCATGGGAGGAGGTGGAGGAGGTCGGGGCAGAGGAGGTGCTATTGGAGGACCACGCATCACCTGCAGCCTCTGACCAACTATCAATACAGTATTATATTAAAATATATACTCCTCAATGAAGCAGGTTACCAGAAAAGAGCAAAGATAATTTCACTCTATAAATTCAGTCATATCAGAAACTTAAGAAATATTATTTCCATGTAGTCAATATTAAAATTGAAATTAATTTTAAAAAAAACATTGAATATAGTATTGACAGAAATACAATTCAAATATAATTAAAGCTGCAAATAGCGATGAATGGGCCTTCGCACTCCAAGAAACTTGGAGTGTGCTGCGGCCGTGTCACGTGCCGTCGTAACACGTGCGGACCACAACATGAAAATTTCACGGAAATCAGATCATAATTGCATCGCAGCGCTTATTTCCTGTTGCCAGTAGGTGGCGCTATCACTATATCTATATATTGTCATGTTGTGAGGACGTGTTCAGGGTGGGACTGTTACTAGCTGTCTTATGGCCAATCGGCGTAATTCCACACTTCGTCACGGGCATGCAGTTCGACGTACAGTCACAAATAGCACAGCTTTTGATCAGCAATATTTTGTAACCGTACTGACCAATTTTGAAGTTGATCCAATAAATTCTCTAGGAGGAGTTCGTTCAAATAGGCCACTCCCACTTCCGCTATGATTTTTTTTGCGTTAAAGCGCGAAATGACATAAACTACTTTTTTGGTGTTCCTCCTATGTTGGGCTTTGGTCGATTCGCACGAAAGGTTTTCACGTAGCATCCTGGCACCGTCCTGGCAAAAAAGTTAATTTGAAGATTTGAGTGGAAAAGGAAGTTGGGACCATTTCTCCACATTGTATTCCGATTGACACCAAGGCTCTGGGTCCATAGGTTCCCAGTGGGTCTTCCCCTTAGGCATCTTGCACAATTCAGGTCATAGCCACAAGTGGCCCGCTCTTTAAAATGGAACAAGTTATATGTTCCGCATCGGCACGTGTGATTAAAATGAAACTTGGTACGATGCTTGCCATCGCTCACTGGAGGGCTCGTTAAAGAACTTGTCAACAATCCGCCCACTAGGTGTGCTCTGGTAGCAATGGTAAACACTGTGCGGAGACCGTAATAGTTATGAATATGAAATCACAGGGCACGTGAAGAGTGGTGCCTTGTAGCTCACATACAAAACATCATGTTTGTCGTGTTTGTAGCCGCCCCTATAGTATTTCAACAAAACAGCCCCGGCACCACGTTTCAACGATATGTATTAAAAACCTCGGTAGCCACGATGTAACGTGTTAAGACCGTACATAAAAGGCCTCTTTGGACGCCATACCCAAAACCCCACAGGAAGTCAACCTTTTCATTTTCATTTTCAGTTTCTGAAGAACTTTCACCTTGTATTTGGAGTGAACTCTTCCTAGGGAATTTATCGGATCTGCTGTGGGCTGATTAAAGTTGTGCTATTTGTGGCACGTCAAAGTGGCCATTTCAATTCTGTGCGTCATTTTCGGTGAATTTTTCGC